TAATGTTTTTGTGATATCTGTGTGGTGTTTGTGTGATATGAGTGTTTGTGGGGGGAATGGGAGTGGATGTGTATTGGCTGGTGGGTCTGGGTGTGTGTGTTTAAAGGATTTGCCCTAACAAACCTGCTAGGAGTATTTACAGAAGCAGAGAAGTCTTGAGTGAGGACAATAAAACCAAAAACAACACAGTCATAATGCAACACGATTCTCTGTATCAACATTAGCTACCAATGGAAAAGTTTTGCTATATCTATGATGAAGTCTTGGAAGGTAAGAAATTAAAGACTGAATCTAAACTGTACTTCGATGACTGGAGACAACCTGTGCCACAACCTAGAAGCAGTGTTAGCATAAGAATAGAATGCCTTTTGGGTGAAGGGATACACTTTACATTGTCGATACACTTGGGAATGAACAAAAATTCAACAAGACATATAAGGAAAATACCATGCTAATTTCCTTGAAAACATGTGAAATGAAAGACATCAACAGGTACATACTGAAAATACAAATAAAAATCACATTGAAGGGCCACAAAACTTGAGCAAGAATATCCTAATTTCAAAAATTTACAAATAGCACCTGATTTCAATAATGTGTGGAAACTTGTGGATTAATGAAGAGACAATGGTGAGGGTAGAGCAGAAGGACATGGGAGCAAAAGGGGGGAAGTCTTGTACCTACAAAACTGCATCATGGAAAATAAGAAAAAAAAAAAAAAGAATACATCATAGTAAGACTCAGTGCACCATTACTCTGATACATGCTACTAAAAAGTTTCTGAAAACTTTACAGACCTACCTTCATTTCCCCCTGACATTTCTTTCTTCTTCTTTTTTTCTTTTTTATAATTTCATGGGTTTTTATTAATAACTTTTAAATTATATTTTTGACAATTTTTTCATAGTTAATTGGGCTAAGAAGGTTCAAGGGCTATAGGAAAGTGGGTAAGACTATTATTTTCCATATTGTTTCCTTCATGTTTAAAGCAGGGTATTAAGGGAGAAAGCCCACCCAATTTCCCACCCTCCCCAGGTACCTCTGGCATTTCTCCCTCTTAGCAAATACTACACTTTTATAAGCACACTTAAATCACACTTAAATTCAAAAGGTTATTTGAACTTTTATAACAACTGCAGTCTTACTTATAAATAAATCAAGGAACATTTTTTTTCCTAAAGCAAAACTGCAAAATATATTCGGCACAGTCATTTAAATGGCACTTGGGTTATATCCATTGCCTACATAGGAGTGCCTGGGCTCAACTCTGTTATTATGAAGTCTGCATATGATTTCAGTTTCCTAAAATCTGGGAGGCCAGAACCGATAGCTGATGGAGTTGAGTCCTTGACACTCACATAAGAAACATGAGTTTTACCTGGATACCAGTGTCAGACTAGAGCAGCCTCGGCTACAGTGGGAATTGTGCAAGGGAACCAACAGATGCAAGAACTCTTCTCTCTTCTCTCTTCTCTCTTCTCTCTCTCTCTCTCTCTCTCTCTCTCTGACACACAAACACACACACACACAGATAAAAAGTAAAAACAGAGAGAGAGAGATAAAAACTAAAAACAAGACAATTTAAGTATGAGTGGAGAAAAAATGATTCCATACTAAGAGTAAACATTTATTGAAAACCTTGAACCTGAAATATCCAGAACATGTACATTCATTAAATAGTTATTGGCAAGGAATTATGCATTCATATGTCATTTAAGATTAATGCCATGCTATTGCATATTCAGTCTAACAGCCTTTTCGTTCCTTGCAGTAATATTTAATCTGTTTTAGACCAAGTTGTGATCTCAGGCAAAGACTGCATTTATTTGACCAGATAGTTACCAATTACAGTTAATCTTTTTGATTTTATTGAGTTTCTAAACTTTCCATTCTTTGTGAAGCTGCATTGTATTTTGTAGTTTATGTGTGCACAGTCAGTTCTGTTACATTCCAACTGCTGAATACTTATATATGTTCCTTCTTTTTAACTATAAAATACCATTGTGCATATATACATGTATGCATTTACTGTATGTATGTGTAGATAGATAGATAGATATAATAAATGTTATACAAATTCCTAAAAGCAAATTCCTGGTGTAGAGGGTATACGCATTTGCATTTGTTTTAGGGGAACCATTTTATGTTTGTCTTCTTGGATAGAATGTAACTGTATACCATATACAATTAAAGGACAGACAAAAAAGCAAAAAAAGAAAAAGGAAAAATAATTACTGGCTAACCTTGACTTGCTAGACCATGAAAGGAAAAATAAGGGGTTATCAAGATGAAAGGAACACTCTCTCGTTGCAAGACATTTACAATTTTGCTGAAGAAACCTAAATACATGCACAACATCAGTTTGACTCCTATATAACAAAAATATGCAGTTATTATTAAAGCGATCTTCACGAGGTAAGATTTCTTCATTTGTGAACACACCTTTAGCATAATTGATGGCACTACTGGACACTTTTTGAGACATAACAGTCTATAGTGTCTAGACACCAAGGCAGCATTTGAATACCAAAAATTGTGGAAAAACGGACTGGCTGGTGGCATAGTTCAAAAAGCCACTGCTTGCAATGCTGCACCACATATTGGAGTTGGTTCACTTGAACACTGCACCACTTAAAATCTGTATCTCTGTTGGGACCAATGTGGTGGCTTATCAGGCTAGTCTTGGGCCGGTCATGTTTGGCCTGTCATGCTGGCATCCCATGTGGGCAGTAGTTTGAACCCCAGCTGCTACAATTCCAATCCAGCTGCCTGCTTATGGCCTGGGCAAGCAGCAGCATATGGACCAAGGCCTGGGTCTTTACCCCCACTGGGAAAACCCAGAAGAAGCTCCTGGCTCCCATCCTCAGATCAGCCTGGCTCTGGCCACTGCAACCATTTGCAGAGTTAACTGGTAGATGGAATCTCTTTCTCTCTCAGGCCATTGCAACCATTTGGGGAGTAAATTAGCAGATGGAAGATATCTCTCCCTCTCTGTCACTCACACTCTTTCTCTTTTTCCCTGTTGATATAACATTTAAATTAAATGAAGCTCTTTTTTTTTAGTGTAGTTTTTTTTTTAATCAAATGAAAACTTGGGTAATTGTCTTCTCTACAACAACTGTCAGCATATTTCCTCCAAACAGTAACGACAATAATTGGACATGATGATTCCACCACTGGCCTCTGGAAAACAATGAGTTTGTGAAGAGGTAAGGCAACAAAATGTTGCTTTATGAGGAGGCTGAAGAACTCACAAACAAATGTAGACTTCTAGCTTTTCTTTAATCACTGAATTTGTCTTTGCAAATAATCTTCAGACACTTCAGTTACTGTCCATCAACTATGACATGCTCTATTTTTCCGTATGTAGCAGATTGGCTGGAATAGCAAACACAACCATTTTTAAACAGTAGATCACTGCATTTCTATTTACAAAAAACCATAAACAAACATGTGTTTCTCCATTTCCTGGAAGGACTTTTAGATGTTTGAACATTAAGGCAGTGATGATTCTAAACCATAAATGAAATTCTACATTAAGGCTTTCCATTTTTTTTTTTTGAAACTTAAAATTTCATAGGCAACTGTGACCAAAGCAAACTTGCACCCTTAGGTTGAGTTCATCTGCCCAGAGTATGTCACTAATCCATTACTGACAATTCTGTAGCTGATGTAGGGGTCCATGCCGCCTGATGAATGGATTGTTCGCTCCCTTGGTAGCATGAAGCTGTGCCACAGAAAGGACAGAGTGTTTGTATCTGTTGTTGTTGTTGTAAACTGGAGAACCTTCAGGCTGCACTGAGTCTGGTTGCCTGGAAGTTGGTGAACAAAGAAGTCAGTGTTTCCGAACGGCAGAAACCCACCACAGCATGCTCCGTCTCAAAACACAGAAAACGTTCTTGGTTCTGAAGGCAAGACCGTCTCTGTGTTCTTTGGAGAAGTCAGTTTGGTATCACTCTTTAAAAATAAATAAATAAATAAATAAATAAAGCAACAAAATGCAGAATAAGCATGTTTTAGGCAGTTCTGTATTTGCCAGCCTCAAGGCACAAAATAAGATACTTTTCCTTCTTTGAGGAAAAGATGAATGTGGATGAAAGGAAAAGTCACTTGAAAATGACTGGAGATTGCACTCTTGCCTGGGGCTCAGGATGTCCTTTGCTCTCCTGGCCTTTTCCTTCAAGGGACACAGCTCAGACCCAGCCTGTGCATGCTCTCTGGGAAGCTGCTGCAAAGCTCTGTGGTGGCCGGCAGGGAACAGCAGGAAGTCCCTCGCTGGGATGTAGTTGGTCTTCTGGCATACAGTTCTTAAGTTCCTTGGACTTCCCAGAGTGATGGGCCTTACGTGCTGAGTACTTCAGTGGTTGGCAGCCTCTAGGTAGTTTCAGGATGGGGACTGGTCCCAAGAAAGACTAGAGGGTTGGGACTTTGTAGCTCCATCTGCCGTTACCTCCAGGGAGGGAGGAGGAGATGAAGGTTAAGTTGACTGCTGGTGGCTAGTGCTCTGATCTACTGTGCCTGCAAATAAAGTCTGTAAAAACTCAAAGCTCTTCATCTGAATCTTCTAGAACATCCTTTATATTAAACTAATAAACCCATATATCTCTGGGTTCTGTTAGCTGCTCTACCAAATTAAGTTCAAGAAGGGAGTTATGGGGACCCCAACTTAAAGCAGGTCAGTTAGAAGGTCTGGAGACCCAATGCTGGGCAGTCTCAGGGGATGGAACCCTCAGCCTGAGGCTACCTCCAGTGGACGCTGTTAGAGCAGAAGCGAATGAGAGGACACCCAGCTGGTGTCGGCTGCAGAACTGCCTGCTCGCTGGAGACAAACTGGTACACATTTGGTCACAGAAGCCTTCTGTGTTGATTGTGGTGTGGGCATAGAAGACAACTTGTCCGCACAGCAGGGGACACCCCAGGATGAATGAATGGGTTGTGACCACAACCCCACATTCCTGAGGTGGGATGATTTACCTCCCTGGTACAGGGACTGCTGTGGGCATTAAGTTCTTGCTCTTCTTTAGGCGAGTTTTGACAGTAACAGACCTTTTGTAAGGGAGGTGCTGCACACTCGGTTGCTATCGGTAACAGCTCACACACAGCAGGGATGGCACCGACTGACTACAGGAAATCTGCTTCAAAAGTGAATGACGGTTGTAGTTTTCCTTGTTGTCTTCAGAGACGAGATGTTAAAGCAGACGGAGGTTCAAGGCGGAGGAGTCACAGACCACGGAAGCATCATCAACAATCTTTTCAGGAGCAGTATCAGTGAACTTTGGCTGAATTTGAAGCTTTGAGAAGTTTGTTGCTGGAAAGCTTGGCTTCAGCTAAAGGACCGTAGAGGTTTTGCAGGTGTGAAATTAATTTTCCTTTCAGAAGATGAAAAGACTAGTTGTGAAAGAGCACATGTAGACAGCACAAAAGCAGACTTTTGAGGTCAACATCTTACAGTTCATAATACACTCACATTTATACACAATTTTCATGTTTACACGTACAAAAGGCAAAGAGCCACACACAAAGAACCAAACAACTGAATCAACACTGTGCTCGAGAGAGTTAACACTGTCGCCCCATGCCCAGCTTTGGAGCCCCAGGGGGAAATGGCACAGGCAAACCCCTCTATTAGAAGTTGGAGACTGCGTGTGGCTCAGTACATGTTTGGGTCTCTACAGAGCTGAACTGAGACTCCATCGTGTTCCAGGCCAAATCGGCCAGAAGAAAGTCATCCATTGCTGTCTGAGTTTCGTTGCTGGTGAAGAACAAGCTCCCCAGGGTTTCAAAACCAGAGCTCATGGTCTGTGTCTCTGCACTGTTCAACTCGACCTTGCCTTCCAGGGCAGGGGAGTTCTTGGTGGCGCAGCTGCTCTCAGTCTGGGTCTCCGTATCCAAAGAGTCGGTGCTCATGGAGAAGCTGGAGTGCTTCAGGATGGAGGACAGGGGCAGGTGAGGGCCGCTGTCCAAGAAGTTGAAGTCTGTCTGTGTCTGCGTGTCAAACATCTCGAGGCCTAAGAAGTTAGCACTGGCCCTGCAGCTGTAGGGCGCAGCAGACGTGTCTGTGAGGAAGAAGTCCGTTTGGGTCTCGATGTCCAGTGACTCTAAGACAGACTCAGGGTTCATGGTACTCAGCCCACTCTCTTTGGTTTGTGTCCGGATGTTTGAGGCTGAGAAGAACTCTTCAATATCAAAATCTATTCCGGGGTTCTGGCTTGGGCCAGATGGGAGCTGGGGGTCAGGCCCCGGATTCGTGTCGGGCAGAAGACTGCGATTATCCAATGTCTGACCAGGCATGTTACTTGACAAGATGTTTTCCAAGTCACTTAACAGATCTATGGTTTGGGTCTGATTATCTGTGGTGTTCTGTGTGCTGAAGTTTAACATTGGTGCCGATTTCTCAATCTCTGGATTCAAAGCCTTGGGCAGCAAACTCTGAGTCACTGACTCTGCCTCCAGACTGCTGCTCATCACGGTGTCTGCAGAGACACTCTATGACGAATGGACGCTCTCAAAGATGTCTCCACACATCCGGGCGTGACTCACCGGCACACAGTCCTCTGTGGGAACCGGCATCCTGCTGGTCTGAGTTTCTCGGGAGACCCTACCTGACTGGAAGCAAGGGTCCAGGAGCACATCTGTCTGGGCAGCTATGGATGAGGTCATCTTGGAGCTGGGCACAAATGTCTGGGTGTGAACACTGATGGGAAGGGACACCTGAGCATCAAACGACAAGTCAGCCTGAGAACAGGAGGACAGGGCAGAGTCGGGGCCAGCCCACTGTGCCGAAGGCAGGACACCGTGGGAGGCGTAAGACAGGTCTGACGGCACATTGGTTGAACACAGGCTGCTCTTCTGACCTGTGCCCCCCTGTGCTTGTACAAGACTGGATGGACCTTTGCCCAAGTTCACTTGTACACCTGTACTGACTGGCTCGACAGCAACAGGGTTTATGATTTTTGAAAGCGGGAGGCTGTCTTTAAGAGAGCAGGCCTCCGAGTCCAGGCCGAGGATGAGGGTTCCCACGGGCAGGGGCACTAAGTGCACAGCCCCTGTGCCAGAGCCCTGATCCACACCTAACATCACAGGCTGGGCTGAGGGGTCGGCTGTAGGCACAAAGACGGGCACAGAGGAAAACTGCATCACAGGGAGTTTAACCAGAGCCACTTTGGGCTTCGGTAAGAGCAACTTCTGAGGGTATCTTGGAGAAGCCAGAGTCTGCTTTTTGGCACTGGAGCCACAGGAGTCTTCCACAGTGGCTGCGAGCTTGCTTTCTGACGTTTCTAGTTCTTGAGAGTCTAGTGTGGGAGTAGGTTGGTTGCCCAGTGATTCAATGGCCTTATTGGACAACTTCTGCTTTTGTAAACAGTTTTCCATTTTCCTTTTCTTACTAGGTGGATCCCTGTGCTCTGCGGGGATCTCATGGCCAGTCCGGTAGATGTGGGACTGCAGTGCTGTCCTGCTGGCGTAGGGACAGCCACATGTGCACTGGAACGTCTTCCCACAGTCCTCTGCATGTCTCTTCAGGTCCCACTCAGTGCCATAAGAGTTGCTGCACTTACTGCATTTATGCTTCTTCTCGGCATGCATCTCCATGAAGTGCTGTTTCATGAGGGAGAACTGAGAAAACGGTCTGTCGGGGCCTCTAGGGCATCCTTCAATTGGACAGCAGTAGAATTTTGGCACAGTTTTCAAATCTTTTCTTATTGTTGGATTTACTATGCCATCCTGCAGCCGGTGGCTCTTGACCAGGTGCATGTTGAGCGCCGGGCTGTTGGGCAGGATCTTGCCGCAGCCGCGCACGGTGCACAGGATGTTGGTCCGCAAAGCCCGGGACAGCTCGCTGACCGACGGCTGGATTAGCTCCCCGGGCGGCGGCGCGGGGGCCGCGGGCGGCTCCCCCTCAGCCGGGGCCCCCGGGAGGCCCCACGGGCCCGAGGCGGCTGCGGCGGCGGCTCCCCTCGCGGCCGCCGGCATGGCAGGAGCGCTCGCCGCCAGAGCCGCGGGCCCCGCCGCCGCCGCCGCCTCCGAGGCCGCCATAGCTCCCCGAAGCTCTTTTTTATTTTTTAAATTCATCTGTCTGTAGAGACTCCTGAGAAAGGAGTTGAATATGAGCCAAGTGTTTGGGATACTACCACAAATGTTGCAGACTCAGATGAAGTTCATGGCTCCAGACTGACCCCCCCCCTCTAATTCTGTATTTCAAAGAAATGAATAATTCATAAAACAATTAGGAAAAACAGATATGATATATCCAAAGTCAGTACAATTTTGAGAAAAGGCCAATTTCCCTTCCCTCTCTAGTTTCCAATATTGAGAGAATTTCAAACTGTCTTCACAATAGTTCACAACTTGCTTTTATGCAAGTCTATAGCAATTTTCCTCCAACCAATATTTTTTTGTTTGTTTTTAACTTCCAGCTTGTCATCTTGAAACAACAACAACAACAACAACAACAAACCCTTGTGGTGGTTGTTATATATTAATCATACTGAATGCAACAGCATCATTTTTTTTTTTAAGATTTATTATTATTGGAAAGGCGGATATACAGAGAGGAGAGACAGAGAGGAAGATCTTCCATCCGATGATTCACTCCCCAAGTGAGCGCAATGGTCGATGCTATGCCGATCCGAAGGCAGGAGCCTCTTCCGGGTCTCCCACGTGGGTGCAGGCTCCCAAAGCTTTGGGCCGTCCTCCACTGCTTTCCTGGGCCACAGGCAGGGAGCTGGAAGGGAAGCGGGGCTGCTGAGATAGAACCGGTGCCCATATGGGATCCTGGGCGCATTTAAGGTGAGGACCTTAGACGCTAGGCTATGCTGCCGGGCCCAACAGCATCATTTTTAACAGCATATTTATGATACTTCGGGTATGAATCTTCTAAAGTAAAATTATAAAACCTTAACAACATGGACTTCTTATTTGAGCAGCTTTTTTTTTTACAGTTAACTGAATGGGTTCACTTCATATTTTTCTCTTTTATCTAAGGTAGCACTGGAAAGTTTAAGGTATGCTCAAATATAGCCAGTGATATAAAAATATCCACTCTATCCCCTGCATACATCTACCTAGACTTCGATACATTTCACATTCATGCTTAGGATAGCTGCTTTGAGTGATTACATTCACAAACCTTGCAAAACTAATGCATCGTTTTTCCTAAACAGGACATAAAAAATAAAGCTTGCATAACATCAAAACAACATTGATTTCTCCCTCTGATTAATTTAGTTAAGTATAAACTGTCGGGCCCGGCGTGGTGGCACAGTGGTTAAGGTCCTCGCCTTGCACGCCCAGGATCCCATATGGGCGCCGGTTCTATCCCAGCAGCCCCGCTTCCCTTCCAGCTCCCTGCCTGTGGCCCGGGAAAGCAGTCGAGGACAGCCCAAAGCTTTGGGACCCTGCACCCGCGTGGGAGACCCGGAAGAGGCTCCTGGCTTTGGATCGGCATAGCATCGGCAGTTGCGCTCACTTGGGGAGTGAGTCATCGGACGGAAGATCTTCCTCTCTGTCTCTCCTCTCTATATATCCGCCTTTCCAATAAAATAAAATAAATCCTTAAAAAAAGTATAAACTGTGTGTCTCTAAAGTGTACTAATCAACTGCCATTTTGATACAAACACAACATCCTAAGGTGATTTTTATTAAAAAGAACTTTAGAAAGACAGAAGATGGCTGTCCTAATATCACATTTTTCAAATGAATTACTTCTAATTTAAGTAACCAAGTACTTGTAATATAAATGATGTAATTATACATACATAACTTTAGTCTCATATGGCAGGAATTCACACCAATACATAAAATAATCATTGAATAAATGGTTAAATTTAATTTACTGTGAATGTATGGCTTATGTTACAGTTGAAAATTAATGACATTAAATATCAAAATAGCAGTTTGTGAAGATCATATATACACAATAGGGCAAAAATACGGCGCGGTGTGAAAGCCTAGAGGCTAAAATATTCACCTTGAATATGCCAGGGTCATATATGGTGCTGGTACTAATCCCAGCGACTCTATTTCCCATTCAGCTCTCTGCTTGTGTCCTGAGGAATCAGTTGAGGATGGCCCAAAGCTTTGGGGCCCTGTACCCACATGTGAGCACCAGAAGAGGCTCCAGGATCCTGGCTTTGGATTGGCTCAGCTCCTGCAGTTTCGGTCACTTGAGGAGTGAATCATGAGACAGAAGATCTTCCTCTCTGTCTCTCCTCCTCTCTGTACATCCGACTGTCTAATAAAAAGAAATCTTAATAATCTTAAAAATGGTGATTGTGTTAGAATATTTTTAAAGGAAAATTTACTCAATAAAGTACTCAGAGCTAATAAAACTTTCTTCTCATATTATCAATACAGTCCCTTTCACTTTTTAAAAATATACACTACTTCTTAAGTAAATTATAATTCTTATTATTGCCACCTTGTATAAAGCATTCCATTATATTAAATGCATTTAAGTTTTACTTTCTAAACATTGGTTTTCAATGTTTGAACAATGATGTACCTAAGCAGAGTTTTCAAGTACTTATATGCTTTAATAATGTTATTGGAGGCTTAAAAATTGTTTCTCTGCAGCAATACTGAAGGTAACAGGTCTCAGCTTAGTGTTAAAATATAAACACAATGGTAGCAGGCAGTGCCATGGTAAGGTAGACTAAGCCTCCGTCTGAAGTGCCGGCATCCTATATGAATCAAGTCTCAGGGGCTCCTCTTCCAATATAGGTCACTGCTAATGGCTGGGGAAACAAGGGGATGGCTCAATTCACTGTGCACTGGAATCCATATGAGAAACCTAGGAGAAGCTCCTGCTGCTATTGCTGGCATTGAATTGGCTGAGTTCCAGATGCTTTAACCATCTGGGGAGTGAACCAGCAGAGAGAAGGTCTCTCTCTTCCTCTTTCACTCCTTTTCTCATTCTGTGTTTCCCCCGTCACTGTAAATCTGCCTTTCAAATAAAAATAAAATGAATTTTAAAAATAAAACATAATGGAATCAAAACATGGAGATAATCAATTACTAATGTATGAAATAGAATTGAAAAGTGAGAAACTGAATTTTCTCTCCAATAAAAACAACAAGCAAACAGGGAATTTTTCACAGATTTTTACTTCAACAGATTTTGAGAATTAAAGAAAAGCCATTTAAGGAAAATGTCAGGATCAACTGGTTATTTATCAGATATAATCTTGAGTGTAAATGATCTAGATTCTCCAGTTAAAAGATACAGACTGGCTTAATGGACTAAAGCAAAAAGCTCACCAACAATGATACAGAAAAAACTGAAATTGAAAGCACAGGAAAAAAAATAACTCATGCTCATAAAAGTTAATATTGATCAGGTATAGCGTCCTAATAAAGAACAAATTGAAGTTCAAAAAGACATATCAAAAGAGAAAAAGAAGAGCACTATTAAGGGATCAAATAAGCAGTAAGATAGTAAATGTTTATATGATCAATATCATGGCAATGGTGCATTTAATTGAATGTTATGAGATATAAATGGGATATTTAGTGTAACGCCATCAACTAGAGGACTTCATAGCCAAATTTCATCAGTTCAAAAAAAAAAAAATCAGCTGCAAACAGCAGAACTAATCCACAGTATGAAATAAGTAGACCTATTATCTATAAAATGTTTACTTCCATGGCTGCAGAATACACATTCTTTTCATCAGAGCATGGACATTTCTTCATGATAGACTGTATTCTAGGTCATAAAGTAAGTCTGGAAACAGGAAAAAAAATGAAATCATTGTACAGATCTTTTTATTTTTTTTTAAGATTTATTTATTTATTGGAATGTCACATATGCAGATAGGAGGAGAGACAGAGAATCATCTGTCCCATGATTCACTCCCCAAATAAGCGCAACGGCCAATGCTATGCCGATCCGAAGCCAGGAGCCAGGAACTTCTTCCGGGTATCCCACACGGGTGCAGGGTCCCAAGGCTTTGGGCCGTCCTCGACTGAGGACTGCTTTCCCGGGACACAGGCAGTGAGCTGGATGGGCAGTGGAGCTGCTGGGATTAGAACCTGCACCCATATGGGATCCTGGTGCATTCAAGGCAAGGACTTTAGCTGCTGGGCCATGCCGCCGGGGCCCAAGAACAGATCTTTTTAACATGAATTAAGCAAGATTTGAATAATTCACAGCAGCATAGCAAACATGCACACCATAATTTGAGGGACTCAGAAAAAACAATACAACAGGTAATTCTATAGTGATTATGGGTGATGTCACAATACTTGGAAAGCATCACATGTGTATAAACAAAGAGAGATCTTTCTTCCTCCTCCCGTATAGTTACCCTTCCCTGAGTGCGCTCATTTGCTGATCAACAGTTTCCAACACAGACACATTAGAAAATGCTGCAGACAGTGTAGAACAAAGAGAAAATGTGAAACTGAACTCAAACCTGTCTCAATGAGAGTAATTACTCTTTTGATATTATAATTTTCTTCCCCGTGTTGGTTGTGATAATATCTGAATCATAAGACAAAAATATCAAACCCAATGCTAGTTACAAATAGCAAAGCAAAAAACCATGTAAAACAAAGTGCTAATAAATATTCACTTTTTGCCTTTCTTTAAAAAAGCTTTAGTTTGTTTTTTTTTTTTTATTGGAAAATCAGTTACACAGAGAGGAAGATGTTCACTCTGTTGATTTTTTCCCACGTGGCTGCAACAGCTGGAGCTGTGCTGATCTGAAGCCAGGAGCCAGAAACCTCTTCTAGGTCTCCCACATGGGTGCAGGGTCCCAAGGCTTTGGGCCTTCCTTGACTGCTTTTCCAGGTCACAAACAGGGAGCTGGATGGGAGGTGGAACTGCCCAGATAAGAACTGACGCCCATATGGGATCCTGGCACATTCAAAGTGAGGACTTTAGCCTCTAGGCCATGCTGCCAGGGCCTACACTTTTTGAAAAAGATTTCGTGTGTTTGCTTTTATTGCAAAGTCAGATATACAGAGAAGAGGAGAGACAGAGAGAAAGATCTTCCATCCCTGTGATTCACTCCCCAAATGACCACAACTACCTGAGCTGCGCTGATTCGAAGCCAGGAGTCAGGAGCCTCTTCCAGGCCTCCCAGGTTGGTACAGGGTAACAAGGCTTTGGGCTGTCCTTAACTGCTGTTCCAGGCCACAAGCAGGGAGCTGGTTGGGAAGTGCTGAACTGCCGAGATTACAACCAGCACCTATAAGGGATCCCAGTGCGTTCAAGGCGAGCACTTTGGCTGTTAGGCCACCTTGCTGGGCCCAGAAAGTTAATCTTTTATTACTCTGTTCAGAACATTAGCTTTTTTTCCCTCAGTATTGTCCTTTATTTAATGACATATTTCTCATTACATGAGAATGTATTTCTCATACGTTCTCATTTAATATATGCAAATACACTATCGCAGGTAAAATTATGTCAGTTTCAAGTGAAAAAAAACTTTGATTATAAATTCATGTAAGCTATATGTAGTTTATGATTGAAGGAACTTATAATTTCAAACCATGGCAAATATGACTTTCTGAGTGTTTTTTTTTCTTACTTTATAATATTTCAGAGTGATTCCTGTCTGTAAAGCACTTCCTATTCTTTTCTTCTAAGAAGTAAAATTTAGAAACTACAATAACCCAATATTAAGCAATAAATCCTGTCAATCCATTTCCTCTTATATTATGTTTATACATTTCTAAGTCTGAAAATTACTGTTCAAAATCTTTCAGTCTCAACGACCTAAAAGTAACCAACCTGATCTCAGCCTTACATGTATGATCCTATATGTAGGTGGTGAATGTGAAATTTTGAGTGAAGATTTAGTATAGTACAAAAACAAAAGTGGATTACAGAATCAAAATGCACAATGGCTATTCTTTTACCAAATAATGACTGTCTTTCACAAAATGCCTAGGCATGATGTAAAACAAAAGCAAATGCAAAACAACCCAATATAAAATAAACATAATGCCTCTGGTTCCTATTAACAGTCCAGAAATAAAAATGAAGTCTTGGAATAGCAAAAAGAAAAAATATTTACATTCAGGCAATCAATCATTTTAAGTATCAAAAATCTAAACAGAAAATCTGGTCTTAGAACTGAAGCTAGTGTGAATAGAAAAACTAAAAGTAGAAATTACAACACTTCTGAAAAACTATACCAGACTGAAACTATGACAACCTAGTAGGTTTACAATTGTCTGTGAAGCCTCAAAAATGTCCTGAGCAATTTTAGGCATAGTTTAAGATGGGACCCTATCACTCCCTTTGTCTGTCTTTCTTTCTTTCTTTCTTTCTTTCTTTCTTTCTTTCTTTCTTTCTTTCTTTCTTTCTTTCTCTTGGGGAGTCAAAGTTACAGAAAGAGAGGGAGACACAGAGAGATCTTCCATTCACTATTTTCCTTAATAAGCAGCCACAACAATCAGGCTTGGGCCTGTCATAAGCTGGGAGCAAGGAGCTTCTTTTAGGTATCCCATGTGAGCGCAGTGGCCCAAGGCCTTGGGCTATCCCCCACTGCTTTCCCAAGCCATGAACAGGGAGCTGGATGACAAGTGGCGCTGTCTGGGCATGAGCTGGCATCCATATAGCATGCTGGTGTTGAAAGGCCAAGGGTTAACTTATTATGCCACCACAATGCTCCACTTTCTGTTTTAATTATCACTGTTCACGTTGATCTATGCTGATACAGATTGACTAGAACATACTTTATGGCAAAATGTTTGTGACTTATGGTAGAGGGATTCTTAACAGAACCTGCACAATGGCCCTATATCCCCCAGGAGAGTTCAAGTTTACTCATTGATTCCAATTTACAAAAGTGTATTGGCCAGACACTTTCCCCAGAATATTGACCTCTTTTTGTTTCACTGAGTAGCCAAGATTAGTAAATCCTTTATCGTTCAAAACATACAAGTCCATTATTTTATATAACACTTTTCACTCAGAAATACACTTGAAGAAACATATGTGAAAAAGAGCCCGAATCCTCCGCCCATGAAAATAATAACTACCATAAGCATTATGGAACTCAGTTCAGGGAATCATCATAAATCTAAAAATAATTCTACCATACAAACCGTCTCTACAAAAACCAAAACAAAAGTGACTAATTCAGGATTTAATGTAGTAAAATCACTCTCCTATCCTCATTAACACAATAAGGAAACAAGTTTTGTATCAAACACCGAGTATGCATTAAGGAACGCTGGAATGCAGCTGGCTGATTCAGGGGGTGGGAAGAAACCATGGTTTGTGCGTGGAAACTGTGCCTTGAGATGAAGCTGGCAAAACAAAAAGCTGCTTGGGCAGTACATTGAGCTCCATAGAGACAGCGCCGGGGCAAGCGAGAGCCGGACGGGCACTGGGCGACTCTATGCCTCGCGGAGGAAAAATAACTAACCATGGGAAAAGGAGATCCTAAGAAGCCGAGAGGTAAAATGTCGTCATATGCATTCTTTGTGCAAACTTGTTGGGAGGAGCACAAGAAGAAGCACCCGGATGCTTCCGTCAACTTCTCAGAGTTTTCGAAGAAGTGCTCAGAGAGGTGGAAGACCATGTCTGCTAAGGAGAAGGGAAAGTTTGAAGACATGGCAAAGGCGGACAAGGCTCGTTATGAGAGAGAAATGAAAACCTACATCCCTCCAAAAGGGGAGACAAAAAAGAAGTTCAAGGATCCCAACGCACCCAAGAGGCCTCCCTCGGCCTTTTTCTTGTTCTGTTCTGAGTATCGTCCAAAAATCAAAGGGGAGCACCCTGGCCTCTCCATCGGTGATGTCGCAAAGAAGCTGGGAGAGATGTGGAATAACACCGCCGCCGACGACAAGCAGCCTTAGGAGAAGAAGGCTGCCAAGCTGAAGGAGAAGTATGAGAAGGATATTGCCGCATACCGAGCTAAAGGAAAACCTGATGCAGCCAAAAAGGGAGTTGTCAAGGCTGAAAAGAGCAAGAAAAAGAAGGAAGAGGAGGAGGACGAAGAGGATGAAGAAGACGAAGAGGAAGAGGAAGATGATGAGGAGGAAGATGATGATGATGAATAAGTTGGTTCTAGCGCAGTTTTTTTTTTTCTTGTCTATAAAGCATTTAACCCCCCTGTACACAACTCACTCCTTTTAAAGAAAAAAAAATTGAAATGTAAGGCTGTGTAAGATTTGTTTTTAAACTGTACAGTGTTTTTTTGTATAGTTAACACACTACCGAATGTGTCTTTAGATAGCCCTGTCCTGGTGGTATTTTCAAATAGCCACTAACCTTGCCTGGTACAGTATGGGGGTTGTAAATTGGCATGGAAATTTAAAGCAGGTTCTTGTTGGTGCACAGCACAAATTAGTTCTATATGGGGACGGTAGTTTTTCATCTTCAGTTGTCTCTGATGCAGCTTATACGAAATAATTGTTGTTCTGTTACCTGAATACCACTCTGTAATTGCAAAAAAAAAAATGCAGCTGTTTTGTTGACATTCTGAATGCTTGTAAGTAAATACAATTTTTTTTATTAAAAAAAAACAAAAACAAAAACAAAAAAAAAACCAAAAAGCTGCTTGGGAGTTTGTTGAGAGAGAATCAGCGTGAGTAAACGGGACCAGAAGAAGAGATGACCAACAGCAGCTGGTCTCAGAGTTGGGCTGGAGGCTCCATGTATCACTCTGTAACGAAATTCCTAGAGCTTGGCTGGGAAAACATCCCCAGTTCAGGCTGAAAACGGACGATGAACTTTCAACCACACCAGAGTCTAAGCCCGTTCTCTGAAACTCTACATTCTCACCACTGTGTTTATGTGCTTGTCTCCTTCTGAGAAGTCCCGTATGGCTTCTGTGAAAATATTTTCCATGGGTCGAGTTTCTGTCCCCATGCACACACACATCTGGGAATGAAAGTCTGCTACCCATGCCTTGGAGGGAGGTCCTCCCCACCCTGGATTGCTCTACTCCACTTCCCCTAGGCTCTGGGAGCTAAGGACAGGCAGAGCAGTCAAGGAAACCCTGCTTTCTCTCCTCCCACCTCTGTCCATCTTTGTAGCCAAGAGGTTCTAAGTGCTGCGGCCAATGAAGGCATCCTGGACCCCACTGTAGGCAGGACTTGGGACCAGGCTTGCATGTGGAATGCAGCCTTCCGCGGGTTCTGGCACAGGAGCTCAGAGACCTCCATTATTGTTTGGAAGCTCCTTAAGATACAGAGAGAGGCAAAGCCAGGGTCCAGGCATTGTGGAACAGCACATTAAAACTCTGCTTGTAACACTAGCGACATGGACTAGCAGCTAAAGTCCTCTCCTTGACCGTGCCCAGATCCCATATGGGCTCTGTTCTAATCCCGGCAGCTCCACTTCCCATCCAGCTCCCTGCTTCTGGCCTGGGAAAGCAGTTGAGGACGGCCTAGTGCTTTGGGATCCTGCACCCCTGTGGGAGACCTAGCAGAAGCTCCTGGCTCCTGGCTTCGGATCTGCACAGCACCAGCCGTTGCGCTCATTTGGGGAGAGAGGCATTCGACAGAAGATTTTCCTCTCTATCTCTCCTCACCTCGTATATCTGACTTTGTAATAAATATAAATATGTCTTAAAAAAAAAAAAGACTCTGCTTGCAACACCAGAAAGCCCTGTAAGCAGTGCTCCTCTTTGTAGCTGTTCCAAAAGCTTCCAGAAAGGCAACAGAAGAATTCCGTTTCAGACCAAACTGGTTTGCAGGATCCTGCTTCCCTAAGGCCTCCCGCCATTTGAGCAGTGAACCTGCGCATCTGGCTCTGTGTCTTTCATTATCACACACATAATTACAGAAAGAAAAAGGTAGGATAAGAATGTCTGTGGCATTGAGGAAGAGGGCTGAGTGGGGAGGAGTCTCCCAAGCATGGCCAGACATACTCAGACCCCCTCAGCGTAAATGTATCATTCTAGGGCCCCTGGGCTCCTGTTGTCTGAAACCAACTCCTGAGGCCCCATTCCCCACCCTGCACTCCATGCCTGCTTGTGCTGCACTCCACCAAGAGGGAGCAGGCTCTGCCAGGCCCTCCCACTGGCCCCACCCCCGGCAGCAGGGCCCCCCTCACCTCACACGCTGTGGGGGCCTCGCTTCCCGCTCCCACAGCCAGCCTGCCATTGGCTGAGATTTCCGCCATTCTCAACTTGGGCCAAGTCACGCCTCTTCAGCCTTGCCGCCTCCAGCAGACGGCACTCCGACCTCCAGGGGAGCCCGAGGCGCAGGGCGGAGCAGCTTCTCAGGACGCCACCGCCATCTTAGAATCTCCACCAGCAGTCGCTAAAGGTCCTTCAGCTTCCACGCTCTGGAAAACCCGCACTCCAGGCTGAGGCAGAGCAGCCACACGGCCCAACGCTACCCCGGGCAGGCAGCGCAGCCATCTCCTTTGCCACACCACCCAGGCAACGCCAACGCTGACTCCCAGACCTACACTGCTCCTTATTCGCTGCTGACCAAGGTACTGTACCAAACAAGTAGCTGACCAGAAAGCTTCCAGCGCGAAACTGCTGCCACTGGCTCCTCTTTAAAGGATTTGGCCATGGAGACCAGAAAGGGAAAGCCAGCGACAGGGCGAGCTACACGTCGTTCCCTGGTGTACTACCTGCAGGACCGCCAGATGGGTGCACAGGGACGCAGGGCACAAGGGGGGTTTGAAAGCCAGCTGAGCAGCCTTGCAGCACGGAGCCTGCCCCACATGCTGAGGGAGCACCAACTGGACCTGGGCTCCCTCGACAAAGTGTTCGCCTCGCAATGGCTGAATAGCAGGGAGGTTGTGTGTGGCACCAAGTGCAACAAGCTCTTCAGGCTGGATGTGTACTCGGGCCAGATCACACACTGCAACATGATGGTGGACAGACAGCCTACAGCAGCCGGGAACCTGCCTGGCTGTGGCATCCACACCATTGAGCTGAATCCCTCCAAGACACTTCTGGCCACAGGGGGCAAGAACCCCAATAGCCTGGCCGTGTACCAGCTGCCGACCATGGACCCTGTGTGCCTGGGTGACATCCAAGGCCACAAGGACTGGATCTTTGCCAGCGCCTGGGTGAGTGACACCGTGGTGGCGAGCGGCTCCCGTGATGGCACCCTGGCTTTATGGAGACTGGACCCTGAACTTTTCCATGATCCCATTGATTTGCACAGTAGCAGTGGTATTCCTGTGTATGGCCACATCCGTCCAGCACATGTGGTAGATATCTCTACACACAGCCCTCTTCCCAGTCACCATGACGTGCGTGCCCTGGCCTTCAACAGCAGGAACCAGGAGCTGGGATCAGTTTCCCTGGACGGCTACTTCCACCTCTGGAAACCTCAGAGAAACCTGTCCAGATTGCTCTCCATCAGGATGCCCTACGTTGGAGGGAATGTGTGCATGACCTACTGCGATGAGTTCTCCCTGTATGCTGTGGGTTCCAGTACCTATGTCACTTTCCTGGATCCACGCCAGCCCCAGCACAACTTAAGGCCCCTGCACTGCAGGGAGTTTGGCACCAGTGTGTGCTCATTGAGCTACAACCAGGACATTATCACCTTGGGAACAGTGCATGGCTCCCTACTCTTCTATGACATCCGTGCCCAGAAGTTCCTAGAGGACAGCCGCGACTTCCGCCAGGACTCTACTCCAGGGTCTGGGAGGAGAATACTCAAGCTCACCTGTAGCAGGGGCTGGATCGACCAGGATACCATCTGGGAAGACCAGAATGTACGTTTGAACCAACTGCCAAGTTCCCTGTACACCCACTGCTACAACTGGCCAGATATGAAGCTCTTTGTGGCTGGGGGGCCTCTCTTTTCTGATCTCCGTGGAAACTATGCTGGCCTGTGGAGCTGAGGATGGCTGCTATTGCTCAAGGTACACATAGCCCTCTCTATTCTCTTCTATCTTCCATTGCTGTGTTGCGTTTATTGTTTTTAATACCCTAAATTTTGCTTTTCAGGAGGAATTCGCCAAATGTTACCCTCCCTCCTCCGTGCAGAGAAATAGAAAGATCCTCTCATCATTCAAACTTCTGAACACTTTTCTTCCTCAACTTAAACTGACTTTTCAGATGTACAAATCCCCGAACTTGAGTATATTTCAGTGTTTATCTCGGTCATTGAATGATTCACATGTTCTGTTTCTTTAAGGGAATTCAGTCATGTTTTTAAAGTTGATGATATTTTATTTTTGCTCAAGCCTGGCATTTCATCATACCCTGTCAGTACTTTTCATTCCAGACATAGTGTATAATCAGGATATCTTCAATGTAAAAGGTTGGTGCCATTCTCTGGAGATCTTACTGTGATTTTATCACATCATTGTGTTTGCCAAATGCACTGGGCTTTCTGGATTGTTTTGTATTGAAAACATTTCATTTGAAATTTGTGAAGCTTAGGCTTGCTTTTTTTTTTTAAAAAAAAAAAATGGTTAGCTTAGAATCTTGCATCCACATCAATACTGCTGCTCATGAGAGCACTTCATACTTTCCCCGGGTGTAGTTACCTGAATGAACCTGAATTTCAGACTGAGCATAGTATTTAGTATCCGCAGCCTTATGTTAAGCTTCAGTCACTTGCTGTTCTAGATTTCTGCATACAGTTTAGTGTGTGTGTAAGAATCCTGCCCAGGACTGAGTGCCACCCCTCAAAGCAGCGTTCCTAAGTGTGAATGTGAAAGATGTGGTCAACTTTGGGAATGTGTGCAGGAAATTCATTCAGTGTATTTGATGTGACTGTTCCTTATTGGATGTTATATTAAGTCATGTTTTCAAAATCCTGTTCTACCTAAAATAAAGTTGCAAGAAAGAAAATTGAGCTGTGCCTACTCATTTGCTTAGAAAAAAATAACAAACTTGCTATGTAAATCTCCAACTAGTAATATTTTCATTTCAGGAATTTCAGAGATTGTGTTGTTTTAAATAGTTGAGAGTAGTTTGAGGGAAAGTGCTTTGGGACTCTGTTAAATGAAAATGTGAACCAACGTAAAATGTGTCTGAGTGGCTGTATGCTGGATGACTGAAAGAAAGAAAAGAAATTGGCTCTGCATTGAAGCTGGCATGACTGTTCTTGGAAGTGGTATTGTATCATGTCTGTTTTTCGTTAATGTTTGTAAAGAGTTTTTTCATTTACTGGAAAGAAAGTGTTGTTGGTGGGAAGAAGCTTGAGAAATCTGACATTCACTGGGTTGACT